ACACCTTTATTTAAATTAAAGCAAAAAATTGGGCCTAGAATCACAGGCCTGTAATCCTGGTATTCTGGACACTGAGCAGGAAGAGCGCAAGTTCAAGGCCTTACCCGGGCTACAGGGAATTCAAGGCCAGCCTTGGCAACTTGGTGAGACACAGTTTCAAAAATGTCAAGAGCTGGGTATATAGCTCAGTGGTAAAGCACTTGGCTGGCATGTGCAACACCCTAGGTTGTTGATCCTAATACTGTAAATGTAAGCAAATCTGATGGCTAAATTAAAGCAATTCTGGTGATTAGACTATTCTTAAGCAGGGCAGCTTAAAGACATCATGTATTTCATACAAATGCTTTGTTAGGTGTGCATGGAGGTGCATGCCTGTAATCAAACCAAGCTCTCAGGAGGCAGAGGCAGAGGTTAAGAACAAAGCCAACCTGGGCCATATAGAGAATTCCAGGCCAGCCTGACCTACCTAGCATAAAAATCATATGAAAGAAAATAGCCAAGTCCCTATGAAGTGTTTCATTTCTCACCTGCACCTCCAAACTAAACTCAAACTTTAAAATTATTATTAAGTGTAAGAATCATGAAGTCAAAGTCCAATATTAAGCACTTCTTAAGCATAATTACTTTTAAAAGATGTTTTAGAATTCATTTGGTAATTACAAACAGGACAGCTAAAAGTAGGTGAATGTCAGTTTTCCTAAGAGTTACTCTTTTATAATATTACAGTTGGCCCTCTGTTAACATGGGTTCCACATCCTGGGATTCAACCAACCTCAGATCAAAAGTTATTTGGGAGGGAAAAAAACTTGCGTCTATACTAAACACAAATTTGTTTCTTCTCATTATTCCCTAAATATACTGCAACTGTTTACATAACATTTACATTGTACCGCATATACTATAGAGATGACTGAAAATGTACACAGGAGGACGTTCGCAAGTTGTATGAAATACTACATCACTGTCCATGAAGGATTTGGACATCTGTGAATTTTGGTATTGCTGGAGAGACAGCTATATCTGGAAAATAGTTTTTCAAATATACAGGGGCTGCTACTCTTCTGTCTTGGTACAGATTAGAGGCCCGAAATTAGGTGGAAATCTTGCGTTTTCTTTTTAAGTTAAAAAAACTCTTCACACTAGGAACATTTATGCACTGATACCTATAACAGAAAAAGGAATCTTTCTTCAATAAGCTTACTACGTAGTGTGAACTGAGTCATAATTTATGGATTATAAAAATCACTTCCTAATATGAAAAAAATCTGGTCAAGGACGTACACAAAAACGACTTCCACATGCTTAACATTTATAGGGGAAATAACAGTAGTAAGCATGTTTTTGTTAAATGCTACCATTTTAAAAATGAAACTGGGGGCTGAAGAGATGGCTCAGCGGTTAAGAGCACTGACGGCTCTTACAGAGGACCTGGGTTCAATTCCCAGCACCCACATGGCAGCTACGAACTGTCCTTAACTTCAGTTCCAGGGGAATCCAAAACCCTCTTCTGACCTCCATGGCACTGCACGACACGGGTGCAACTCACATACATGCAGACAATACTACTCATACACATAAAATAAAAATAATAAATAAATTAAAAAAAAAGAAGCTGTTTCCACTCAAGTTTGACGTAGCCATCAGTACCTAGGGACATTAAAAGGTACAAGAGAACTAAGCTAAATTAAGAAAAATTCTTAAAGGGAGAACAATTATTTGAAATGATACATTTCTGTATTTTTTAAATATTTTATATTTATTTTATGTGTATGAGTGTATTTGCCTGCACGTGTATAAGTACACCCATGTCCTGTAATGCCCTTGGAGTCAGAAGGTGGCATCATATTTCCCTGAAACTGGAGTTACCAGTTGTTAGCCACCATGTGGGTGGTGGGACTCAAACCTGGGTCCTCTCCAAGAGCAGCCAGTGCTCTTAACCACTAGACCATCTCTCCAGCCCCACATTTCTGTATTAAGGGCTGGTGTTCATTATACCCATACCAACAACTGTCCCTGGACAACTTTTCAATTTTCTCAAAGCATGCTAAAACGAGGATGGTGGTGAGATTTTACTTAGATTTCAAACTAGTTTTACAATAAAGGGAAAATAGTATCACTGCTTTAAAACTTACTGAAAAGAAACACAGGCACCAGGTATAGTCAAGTTCTAAAATCTAAAAGCTTTTAAAGACAGCAGTGGTAGAGGAAAAAGTACCAATGTAAGATTATCATTAAAACCTAACAGGGTGAACATCTGTAGTAGTGGCTATTAGGCCATTAACTGATGAAACAAACCACCTTTGCTGCTTCTAACCTCAACCAACCTATTTTCTACCCTTCCTAGCCACACTTCAAGATAATGACTGCTATGTCTGAAGATGCAACTTTTTTTTTTGAAGATGCAACCTTTATAAAGACTTTTTAAAGCTGAAGCTATTGCTATAATTTATCATTCTGAATGAAAGAGGAAAGTATTTCACATAGTCCCAAGTAAAAGTATCTTCTGACACCTCCACACCAAAAAACAAAACCAAAGACCTTGGAATACAGGGTTGAAAACAAACAGTGAAAATTTATCTGGCAGAACTGTACACTGTGGCACATGCCTGTGATCCTGGCACTCAGGAGGCTGAAGCATAAGGAAAGCACCCAGTTCAAGGCCAGCTTGGGCTACACACAAGTCTGAGACAAGCCTAGAACTGGAGGAAGGAAAAACAATTTGGTAGGACAATCCAAGCCATTTTTTAGAAAGATGTAAACAGAAATGTCTACTCCAAATATATTTTTTTAAATCTCTTACGGTATCTTCACAATGCATTTTAGACAATGCTGTGTATAGGAGTGCCACCATCTAAATATACTCTCCACTCACCAAACAGGGAAAAGACAATTTAAAAAGCAGCCTATATGAGCACCACAGACAACCAAACTAATGATCTTTATATAACTTTTCCACAGCGAAGAAACAAATCACAATGAATAATGGGTCTGTTTGTGGCACTAACTTGTTCTAACAGCACTTCATGAGCAATGGATTTTAGAAGAATATGCAAACTGTACTTTTTTTTTTTTTTTTTGAAGTGCAAACCTTACAACCAAAGTCCAAATGAGAAAACAAGATTCCTGACGGTGAATTCCCTTTCAGGACATGCTCACTCTTGCTTCACAGGGTAAAGCAAAGTAACTTTCACGTATGATGAAAGTCAGTCTAGCTAATGTGGCCGGGAGTCATTTAAAAAGAGAGTTTACTATTGTTGCTTATGTCCCTATTTTTTGTCCTGAAAAGGTTCAGGTCAAACCTCCACTGACAGGAAAGACTGAGTGTTCCAGTGAGCTTTGCACCCTGAGGTAAAGGAGCAAAAAGAAAAAGGAGGTGGTTTTACAGGTGGCTTCCAGGTTAGCCAAAAATTGGGAGGAGTTGGTTCTATTAAATGTATCTAGTTAGTAACTGGAGTAATCCTATGCCGTTTAAGAAAACGTAGTTCCCCAAAATATAATCAGCATAAATTAATACGAATCCAAACCAGATTATTTGTGCCTAAGTTTATTACTCCATTTCGAATCCCAACACTTGATGTTCATTCAACATTTAAGTGCAAACCGCCAGTGCTAACAGCTCTGGGAACCGATAGGAATACCCACAAGGCCCTTTCCCGCATCTCCGTGTGAACTGGAACAGGGAAGGTCTGACACTCACTACTCACCCAACCCCAAAACTCGGCCAATATAAGGATTACAAATAAAAACAGTGACTTTCCACAAAGCTTTGCCCACATCAATTCGAATCCCTTCGCTCTGACTATCCACGAAGGAAAAGGGATAAAAGTCGAGTAACTAGGTCCACCATTAAAGAAAGAAAAAAAGGAGCCGAAGGAACTTAACGGAAGCTACAGAGGCAAAGATAACCCAAAAGGCAAACAGAAAGATGGAAAAGCAAGTGGGGAAGGAATGCGAGAAGAATCTAGGAGACGAAGGAAGCGGGAACCACTTCAAGGGCTGCGAAGCGACAGGGATCTGGGCCCGGGAAACCGACGCCTACGGAACCCCGAAAAGGCTAACGGGGAACAATGGGCCGGTGCGTCCCGGAGCAGCGAGCAGAGGAGGAGGCGAGCGCGGCGAGGCGCGGTCCGGGGGGACGGAAGGGCGCCGGGCTGCAGTAGCGGGAAGAGTTCGGGCGAGCAGCCGGGCGAAAGGCAAGTTGGCAGAACGCGAAGGGGCTCGGCGGGGCCCCGGGAGAGTGGCTGGGTGCTCGGCTTTCTCGTCCGGAAGAGCAGGGCGCCGAGGCCGCGGAAGGCAGGTGTGATGGAAGGAAAAAAGCGACCCGCTCGACAGGACCCCGGAGCTGCCGTGCGGACCAGACGCGGGGAGGGAAGGAAGCGGCGGCCCGAAAGGGAGGAGAGATGGAGGGGAGGGGACGGGCGGGCGAGCGGGGAGGCTTCACTCACAGTCCAGGTGCTTCTTCTTGGGCCCCATGATCTCGTGGGTCGTGGCCTTGCATACCGTCTTGGAGACCGCGGAGCCAGTGACACTGTGCTGGGCGGCGGTGATTCGGTCCGTCAGGCTCTGGCCGGACATTGCTGCGGCTCTCCGCCACCCCTCCCGCTCGGCAACCGGCGGGACCCGGGACCCCCAAGCGCCCGAGGGGCCCCACCCCCACCGCACCCCCGACCCCCACCGGCTCCCGGCTCGCCTGCCGGCCTGGGGCGGGGTTCAGGGCCGCGCGCCGCCACCCGGGCCGGAGAGCGCCGGCTCGCGTGGCCCCGCGGGCTCCCACACCGAGTCGGGGGCACTCCCGGGCCCAGCGCAAAAGCCTCGGTCCACCCCTTCGCTGGTCAGCTGGAGCCCGGCAGGGCAAGAGGGACAGGCAGCTGCAGGAAAATGGCGGCTCCAGGCTCCTCCTCGGAGCTTTCCGGGCTGCCCCTGCGTCACGTGACTCGGGTTCCGCCCCCTGCTCCCTTCCTCCCACCCCGTTTCCCTTCCCTTTTCTCTCCAGCGCGCGCCCCCCTCCCTCGCTCTGGCGAGGGAAGAGCGGGCGCCGCCCGCGATACGTGGAGGAACCCGCTCGGCTGGCGCAACAGGAGGCCCGCGAGGGGGGACCGTGGGGAGGGGGGAGCGCACGGGACGCCCGGCCGCGTCACGTGACGCCACTGCCAACAGGTCGCCCGAGGCAGGGCCCGCGTATCATAAGGGGCGGGGGAGGGGCGGTCGCTACAGTTCGCCACCCGTTCGCCCCGCGGTCACGGTGTCCTCGTGCCTGAGGTGGACGTCGTCGGCTTGACAAAGAGGTGAGGGAGCCACGGTTGCAGTGTCTCCGGGTGCCCGGGTGTCGGGGCTCCGCTCTCCGGTCTGGAGATACCCTGGCCCGCCTCCGGCCTTAAAGGAACAGGCTCCTGCCGGCTTGTATCTGAGCCCCGGAGCAGGCCTCTCGGCTGCGGAACTGCCCAAGGCTCCCTTTTTTTGCTTTAATCCCGGAAAGGTATTTTTTGTTGTTTTTATCCCCTGGTTTTCCATCCGAGTCTTAGAAATGTCACCTGATTTTGTTTATCTCCACTACTAAAACTCCACGTTGCTGCCAGGCTAAATTTAGACACAAGCCAGCCTTGTCTCTACTGTGTCATATACGACGGGAAGCACATAGCTTCACTGGAATTTGAAAAGGGAAGTAGTAGGATGATGTCAACAGTGATTAACTTGACCCTACAAGGCTGACAACTGGGGTGATTAAAGGTCCAGACCATAGAAGGAAGTGAGACTGGTTGGTAAATGGAGAAGTCCCATTCAGAGAGTGAGACATCAGGGACCTACCATCTCCCCTGGTTTAGCCTTTCTTCCCCTTGGCCTCTTTTTCTCTTGTGTGAGCCAGATTTCCATGGAAAGATATTGACAGCGCCCGGTACGCATTTTAAAGCGCCTATTACAAATTGAGAATCTGTTCTGGGAAATCCAGCTCTACTAACAAAGCCTTTTAAAATGTTATTAGTGTTGTACATTTAACTCAGGGCTAGGAATAAATTTTTAAATCTCTGAATGTTAAGCTTCCATCGTAGTTATACGCTTATATGCACTCTTGCTAGTTTCAAATGAAATGCTAGCATACTCAGAAAATCTGTGTACACCATCTGCCAACTGAATCTAAAATACCGTGCTCAAATCTGGTGACTCTCAAAAGACGCAAAACTAACATATTTAACATTGTGTGTGTGGTATCAGGAATTCTGTGGTCTCTTCTCTTTCACACACATCCTTTCCCGTTCTCCCCCCACTATGGCTATTTGAAATTCTGAAACACCTAAGCTTTTTGCCAAGAACTTGCAGTTCTTAAGCCAGCAGGTTTCAGTCCTGTCAAACCAGCTTGAAATTTCACAAAACTGTAAAACTTCCTTCAGTGCATCTGGGGTCCATCTGTAGTTTGGTGTCCAGTTTGCTGTCCCTTGTGTATCAGGCTGCAGAATTACTTTGTGTGTGTGTGTGTGTGTGTGTGTGTGTGTGTGTGTGTGTGTGTGTGCACGCGCGCGCGCGCTCCTGCATGGTGAACATGCATTTGTGGGATGCATGCTTGCATGTGTGGATGCACGTATGTGTGCAGGTGCACGTGTATACACATGCATGTAGAGGCCACAGGTTGATGCTGGGTATCTCCCTCAATTGCTCTCCACCTTCTGTATTGAGGCAGGGTCTCTTGAATCTGAAGCTTGCCCAGGGCTAGTATAACTAGCTATCTTGATCTGGGGATTCCCTGTCTCTGCCTCCTGCATGCTGGGATTACACATGCACTGGGCCTCATACTTCACAGCAAGCGCTTCCCCCCTCCACCTCTGCACTGAGCCATCTGGCTAGCCCTGCCAAGACATGTATGTCAGCCTCACTGCTGGTCTTCTGTAGCTTTCACTGTTTAAGGTACTGATTTGCCTGAACCTCTGCACTGATGAACCCCAATCTGAGCTCAGCACTAACTCAGTCTAGCTTTCAGTAGCTACAAATCCTTGTGAAAAATTTGAAAGTTATTCATAAGCGCACAGCATGAAATCTGTTTTTCTGCACTGTTATGAAAGGTATTTCACATTACCAAAGGGGTGCTTTTAAGTCACCTTTGTACAAATAATTGTGAATATTTAACAAACTAGCTTCTGTTAGAAATATCATTAAACTTTTTCCAAGGATACATTTCATAAGGGCCTACTAGGTAAACAGTAATCATTGTACAAGTTTATGTACAGTTGTGAGGTAAAAAACATGGAGAAATTTAGAAGGTAGCAATTTGTAAGAATGGGAATTAATTTTCTTACCTTACATGCTTAAGTTTTTGTCTATGTTCCATTTTCTTTATTCAAGAAATACCTTTGACATCCTAGAGTCCTCAAATCATTAGGACCCAAACTTCTCTTGTTCTCGTCCACTGTCCTAAATCCTTAATCCGTATGATCCTCTCCTTTGTTGCCTATTTCTCTTAATGGCCTCACCACCTATGGAGAAGCCTAAGTTAGAAGCCCAACCCACGATTCAGCCTAGGCTCTCCTTTTCTCTTACTTCATCTAGCCTAATGTCCAGAAGTCTGTCAAACCCTTGATGTTAGACATCCTAGACTTACATATATAAATGTATGTTTCTTAAAAATTACCTAGTCTGGCCAGGCATGGTGGCGCACACCTTTAATCCCAGCACTCAGGAGGCAAAGGCAGGCGGATCTCTGTGAGTTCAAGGCCAGCCAGGTTTACATAGTAAGTTCCAGGACAGCTGGGGCTATAGGGAGACCTTGTCTCAAAAAGACCAAAAAAAAAAAAAAAAAAAAAAAAATTACCCAGTCTGGTACTCTGCTGTAGCAGCGGGAAAAACAGACAAGGCAAGCTCTATTGTCACTACCCTAGACGATAAAAGTTGGGTCTCTGTGCTGTGGAAACTAGACTTCATGATCCAGCCCTCACTGCTTGTTGAGTCTCCTCTTCCTTGGTCCTCTGCACACACTTAGTATCACACTGCTTACTGTGCTGCTTTACACCCTCATAGGAAAGAGTCTCCTTTTGCTTCTCATTCAGTGTCTTGTACATAGTTGTGTGACTGTTGTCTTGCACTAAGGTTTCTGGAATGGTGGGGAGACAAACCATTACAGCTTGAGTCTGAACTGCCTCCTGTAGAGTCATGTGTTTAAACACCTGGTCTTCAATGGGTGGCTCTGTTTAGGGGAGTTGTATGACCTATCTGATGGAGGTAGGCCCATGAAGATGGACTCTTAAGTACACCTAACAGGACGTCTGACCCTGCTCCTTGCTTTCTGGTCATCTGACCATGTTAGGAACTCTGCCACATGATCCCACCATCACAGTGCCACTCCACTCTGCACAGTGGATGGACTGAAATCCTCTGAAACATGAGCCACTATAAATCCTTCCCCAAGTTGCTTCTGTCAGGTATTTTGTCACAGTGAGGAGAAAAGTAACACATATCCTCAAAAAGTGTGTTACAGCTGATGCACATCAGACACACCGTGTAATGACGGTTGAATGAATGAATGAAAACAAATCCTCTGGATAGACTATGACTCCAAATCTTCCATTTGATAAACTCTTCCCACTTTTTCACAAATGTAGTGTGTGTCCATCCCATAATTACCTGTCTAGGGCATCATCCTTAGTACTTGTTAATTGACTCTTTAAAAAAAAAAAAAACTATTGGGGCTGGAGAGATGGCTCAGTGGTTAAGAACACTGGATGTTCTTGCAGAAGACCCAGGTTTGAATCCCAGCACCCACATGGCAGCTAACAACTAAAAACAAAAGTATTGAAGACTTACTGTGTGTCAGGCACCAGAATTAAATTTTCTTTATGTATTTTACCGATTTTTAAAAAAATTTATGTGTATGGGTATATTGCCTGCATGTAGGTAAGTGCAATGCCCACGGAGAATAGAAGAGGCTGTCAGATCCCCTGGAACTGGAGTTTCAGACAGTTGTTAGCTGCCATTTGGGTGCTGGGATTCGAACCCAGGTCTTCTGCAAGAAAAACCAGTGTTCTTAACTGCTGAGCCATCTCTCCAGCCCCAGCACCAGAATTTAAATGCAGGCTACAGTTCTAACAGCGAATCCATCAGTTCTTTGGGAACTAATCAGTTCTCTCAGTCACTAACTTGAAAGCCCGTTTGCTTTACAAATGAACAGTCCCCAAACAGAAGGAAACAATGTGAATAGCATATGCCGTTTCTTAAACTCTCTCAACTAAAAAAAATTATGTTGTTGAGAGGCCTGGGAGTCTCGGGGGAAGGAATAACAGGTCTTTTTTCTAATGCCTCCTATGTACTAGAAACACAACAAAACTTTTTTATTTAATTCTTATTACAATAATTGCAAAACGTTTTGTGGTTGTCTAATATAGGAATACCAACAAGCCTTATAAATTAACTTCCCAAATCCCACAGATTCTAAGTGGCAGAGCAAAAAAAGAACTCATTCTTTTTTTAAAAAAATGTTATGGGGGGGGGCAGGCATGGTGGCGCACACCTTTAATCCCAGCACTCGGGAGGCAGAGGTAGGCAGATCTCTGTGAGTTCGGAGGCCAGTCTGGTCTCCATAGTGAATCCAGGACAGCTGGAGCTACAGGGAGACCCTGTCTCAAAAAGACCAAAAAAAAAAAAAATGTTATTTTTACTTTGTGTGTATGAGTGTATTGTCTGCATGTGTGTAAGTGCACCCATGTTGTGCAGTGCCTTTGGAGGTCAGAAAAGGGCATCAGATCCCCTGGAACTGGAGTTATGGAGGGTTGCTAGTTGCCATGTGGTTGCTGGGAATGGAACCCAGGTCCTCTGTAAGAGCAGCCAGTGCTTTTAACCGCTGAGCCAACTCTCCAGCCCCAGAACTCATTCTCTTTCCATTTCTCTATGTAGACCTTTTAGCCAATACTTGAAGCAACTGCCATTATAGATTAAATTCATTCCACTAATAGTTCTTGCCTGTATACAATTGCTAGGCTTTGCTAAATGTTGTTACAGTAATGTGCAAGACAAACGTCGTTTTCTTAGACTTTGGTGGGAGAGGGGCGGTATTTGTTTGTGGGCTTTTGTGTTTCTTTTGTTTGGAAATAGGTTCTTACTGTGTAGCCCAAGCTGATCTTAAATTCACTTCTTAGTGCCAGCTGGCCTGAAATCCATAGTCCTCTGGCCTCAGCCTTCTGAGTGCTAGGATTACAGGCATGTACACCACTGCTGGCCTGTTCTTAGACATTTAAAACTCTTAAGTGGGAAGTAAAATATATGTTTCACCTGAGAAAATCTGACAATGTCTATGACTTAAAAGTAAAAGAAAAATACCATAGGAGAGAAGAATGACCAGAATTTTCTCTTATTATTTCACTTACACCTATCTTTAGGTCCAAAGAGAACATGCTCATTTCCTATTCTTGCCTGTTCTCAGACATGTGTTATCTAAATTATACCCTTGACAGTCTGTTAACCAAGGTAACATGAACATCTGGCAACTCATTTCTCCCTTACCTTCAGTTATTTCTCTCCTTCATGATGTAGCCAAATCAGTAAAAGAGTGCCTTATATAACCCACTCTTTGCAGCAGCGCTCTCTCAGTAGAACTCAAGCAAGCGCCCTCTATCCAACTGGGAGAGACGTAATCTCTAGCATACATATTTGTGATAATAATAACACCATGTTAGTGTTGGTTACTTTTCCTGTGCCAAGCATGTAACACCTGTTATCTCTCCTTTACCCTAAAACAGCCTCACGAGCTTAAGAAGTACAAACATCTCATCACCAAATGGTTTCCTTCTCCTTTTAGGCATATAGCTAGACTGTTTCCTGGCCGCCTTTATGATTAGTTGGAGCAAAATGACTGATTTCTGTCCAAGAAAACACGGACAGAAATGAGGGTTTGGGCGGTGTGCCCTGAAAACCTCAAACACATGTTCAACATTCTTTCTTTTCCTACTTCCAGCTGAATAAAGACTTCAAAGAATCAAGAGGAAGTTGAAAATACAACAGGGAATAGACCTGGGTTCACAAATGAGAGCCTAGAAATGCTGCCTCGGAGCCTGTGTGACCAGGAGCACCTACACTGGATTGCATTTGCTTACATAATGACTGAACTTTGGTGCTTCTTGCAGATTAGCTGTTCTGGTAATACACTTCTCTGCTCTTGTTTTACTAACAAAGAAGTTGACATTTAGACCTGATACATAGCTTAGTGTTAGAGAGTTTGTCCTACATGAGCAAGGCTTTGGGTTCCCCCTATCCGGCACTAGGAGGTAGAAAACTATTCTCCATGCACTCACCCCTTTAATATGTATATAGCTTTACCCAGTAATGAAACTTTTTTCTTTTTGAGACAATATCTCCCTGTAGCCCCAGCTGGTCTGAAACTCGCTATGTAGATCAGGCTGGCCTCAGTCTCACAGAGATCTACCTGCCTCTGCTTCCCGAGTTCTGGGGTCAAAGATATGCACTGCCTTAATAAAGCTTTCTTCTAAGACTGGAGAGATGGCTCAGTGGTTAAAAGAGCTTGCTGCTTTCAGATGACCAGAGTTTGGTTCCCAGCATTCACATTGGGTGGCTTGCAACCATCTCTAACTCCAGCACTAGAGGTTTTGACATCTCTTATGGCATCCTTGTGCACCAACATGCATGTATGAGTACATACACACATGTACACACAGACACATAAATACAGTCCTTAAAAAACAGATTCCATGGAACTGGAGAGATGGCTCAGCAGTTAAGAGCACTGACTGCTCTTATAGAGGACCTGGATTCCCAGCATCCACATGGGGCTAGCAACTGTTTGTAACTCTAGTTCCAGGGGATTTCGATGCCCTCTTCTGACCTCCATGGGCATTGCACAACTGCACAACACGGGTGCACTTACATACATGCAGACAATACACTCAAACACATAAAAAATAAAAATATTTTAAAAAAATTGAAAAGATTCCAATTCTTAACTGAGAGAGATGGGGGCAGGGAGGAAAGAAGAAGAAATTGGGGCTTAGGGAGAGTTAAGTAACATACTTCGGTGTGCTCAGTCGTTAGGTGTGTTAATCATTTTCCATTGCTGTAACAGGATACATGAGAGAAACAACTGAAGGAAAGATTTATTTTAGCTCAAGATTTCAGAGATGTCAGCAATGGTCAGCTGGTGCCAATACTTTTATGCCTGTAGTTAGAACTACAGCAGAAGGGCGTGGCAGAGAAAGGTTGCTGACTTCATAGCAGCAGGAAAGTGAGAGAGCAGATGGGCCAGAGAAGGATCCAGACAAGATATCTCCAGCCACTTCCCCAAGTAGGCTGCACTCCTGATAGCCCAGTCAGCTAAGAATTCATCTACCAGTTAATTCATTGATAAAATTAGTCACCTCTGGATAGAACCACTTCTCAGGAATGCCTCCAGTTGTGGACCAGGCCTTTAACTCTTTTTTTTTTTTTTTTTCCTTTTTCTTTTTTTTTAGACAGGGTCTCCCATAGCCCCAACTATCCTGGAACTCACTATGTAGACCAGGCTGGCCTTGAACTCACAGAGATACACCTGCATCTGCCTCCTGAGTGCTGAGATTAAAGGCACGCTAGGCCTTTAACTCTTAAAGGCAACTTTTGTAAAGGCCCTTTATGGTCGTAGGGGAAATAGTACTAGATCTCAGTTCTGCCTTTAGCACCTGTCTTCTCATGGCTTGAGTTCTGTTAAACTATTTCATGGTTTTCTAACATTTTTATAGCAGTTCTATATTGCCCTTTAATATATACTGTGTGATGGCTAATTTTGACCATCAACTTGATTGGATTAAGCAACACCAGGAGGGCTGTAAAGATATCTCAGTTGATAAAGTGCTTGTTACAAACATGAGGAAGCCTGAGTTTACTCTTCAGAACCCATGTGCTTAAAAAAGAAAAAGAAGGAAGAAGGGAGGGAAGGAGAGAGGGAGGGAGAGAGAGAGAGAAGAGAGAAGGCAGGTGTGGTGGTGGGTGTTTGTAATTCCAGAGCTGGAGAGACAGAGACGGGCAAGCAGATCCCTGGGGCTTCCTGGCCACCAGCCTAGCCCATAGCAGGTTCCAGGCTATTGAGGGGCCCTGTCTCAAAAGAAGAAAATGATAGGCGGTGCCTGAAGAATGACATCCAAGGTTATCCTCTGGCCTACACACACACACACACACACACACACACACACACAAAGGAACAGCAAGGAGATTAGTGAAGCATACCTCAGGGTATGTGGGGGTAGCACATCCCATCACCCAGGATCCTTCACTGAATAAAAAGGGAAAAAGAAAGGCAGGTGGGCCCTTGCATCACCTCTCTGCTTCCTGACTACAGATGCCATGTGACCAGTGCTCCTGCCTCTATGCTTTTCCCACCACGATAGGCTGTGTCCCTCAGGGAGCAAAAAGAAACTTAAGTTGCTACACATCAAGTATTTTATCACAGCAATGATTAAAGAATTCACATCACTCCACCTAGCATTAGCTACAAAAACAGTATCAGGCTACCTCCACCCTTTCTCACTTTTGAGGCTCTATTACTCTCTATTGTTTTGTTTAGGGAGGTAGGGTCTCATATCACTGTGTGGCCTTGAACTCTATGTAGGCAAGGGTGACCTTGAATTCCTGATCATCCTGCCTCCATCTCCCAAGTACTGGCATTACAAGCTTGGGCCAGCACACCTGGTATTTAACCTGCCTTTAACACCCACACTTTGCACTTTTTCAGGTTGTTACAGTTTGAATATGAAGTAACCTCCCCCAAAGCCTCACATATTGAAGAGTTACTCCTTAGCTGGTGGTACTACTTTGGAAACTTTAGGAGGTAGGGTTTAGCTGAAGGAAGTAGGTCACTGAGGATATTTCCTTTCTGTCTCTCATCTTCCTGTCTATCATAAAGGTAGTGGACAATCTCATTTATTTTTAATGGCTTATTTTTATGTGTATTGTGGGGAGGGGGCATTATGCTCCAGAGGAGTGTTGAATCCACTGGAACTGGAGTTACAGGTGGTTGTGACTGACCCCCCCCCCACCACCATGGGTACTGAGAACCAAACTCTGTTTCTCTGGAAGAACAGAAAGCACTCTTAACCACTAACCATTCCTCCAGCCCCAGTCTCCTCCTCTACATACTCCTACGGCCATGATGTTCTGCTTCACACAGGCCAGAATCATTAGAGCCAAGAACTACTGGCTAAAACCTCTGAAACCGAACTAAAGCAAGTCTCATAGCAACAGAGTTAGCACAAGCATATTGATTTAACAATTTCCAACATGATTTACAATATATTTATACTTTTTACAACTTTTCAGAGATGATATGCTAGTTGACTATTAAATGTAATCCTTCCCTTTAAAAAGAAAATTAGCCAAATCATGACCCTGAGATATCACTATAAATCTAAATCCAAAACAAAATAAAACTAGAATACATAAGATGTGAAGCTGTGTGGGGTCCCTCTTTCTCATTTTTCTGTGTTTTTTTTCTTTCCTAAGGGACTGAATCAATTTAGAATTAATTTGAATACACAACATTGAAATAATATAAGATCATAGGTTTAATGATAATGTTTAGGATGTTATGACTGGTAGATATCAGTAAAAAAGAAATTTATTTTGAGGCACTAGGAGAAGCACTAGATTTAGCGTCATACTTAGGTCTGAACTTAGGGTCAGAATTCTGAGCAAGTTATTTGGTTTTCACATACATAGCACCAGGGGTAGTAGAACATATTTTATGGGCTTTCTATCAGTATTAAAATAATGTACATAAAGACAAGTAGAGCCAGGCGTGGTGGCGCACACCTTTAATCCCTGCACTTGGGAGGCAGAGGCAGGTGGATCTCTGTGAGTTCAAGGCCAGCCTGGTCTACATAGTGAATTCCAGCATAGCTGGGGCTACAGGGAGACCCTGTCTCAAAAAAGACCAAAAAAAAAAAAATACAAGTATAGGGGCTGGGATATAGCTCAGTTGGTAGAGTGCTTGTCTAGTTGCACACAGCCCTGATTCCAACCCCAGCACTGCATAAACCAGGAATAGTGGTGGATATTTGTAATCCTAGCATTTGAGAAGTGGAGGCAAAGAGGATCAGGAGTTCAAAGTCAAATTCAGCCATATGCAAACTGAGGTCATTCTGAAATATGAAACCCTGTTTCATAGAGCAAAAAAAAAAACTAAAAACTAATACAATGCCTGACACTCAACTATCACTCAATAAGTAAGACCAAACAATAAGCATTTGCTCAGAATTTGCTATGGACAAAGAACTCCACTAGATTTTCAGGAGTCAGATTAATTTGAATAAATATAACACAATTAAGTACTTAATAGAGGTAGTACATAAGAACAGAAAACCTAACTGCTTGGAAAGAGCAATGAGGCTTTCCTAAGGGCACTGACACTTGAGCTCACTCTTAAAGGGTGATCAGGAGTTGTAAAGGAAACAGTTATTACTTAAATTAGAACAAACCACACATTCAAAAGAATAAACCATTTGAGAACTGAAATGGGTGCATGTGTGGAGCACAGTACATGTGATGAGGGTGTGTGGCATGCAGTTAGCAAGTACTGTAATTCCCCAGCACCTGTCTATGTTACACAGTGGTTTAAGCTGTGGAAGCACATCAGTAAAATATATTCAAGTTTCCTGTCTTCACAATATTTATTTTCAAGGGGGCTGTAAAATCAAAGAAATAAATGTAAAATAAATGAATAGGTGCTGTGAAGAAAAATTAGCAAAGTGAAGTAATTTAAAATGTTAGGAAAACCCTAAAGATTCTACTAGAACACTCTTATATCTGATAAGCACTTTCAGCAGAGTATCAGGATATAAAATGAATATACAGAAATCAGTAGCTTTTCTTTTAAGAAGGAGCTTCTTTTATTTTAATATCTCAACCTTATCACTTAGCTACAGTGAGCAGGAATCTAAGAACTCTGAAATATAAGCATATGCTTCGGATAACTCTATTCTCTCTCTCTCTCTCTCTCTCTCTCTCTCTCTCTCTCTCATCTCTCTGTTCTGGGAATTGAAACCAGGACTTTATGCATGTTAGGCAGGCACTTCACCACAAAACTGTATCTCCAACACAATTTTTTCTTTATTAATTCTTGGCGGTGGGGGGGGTTAAGACCGGGTCTCCCTGTAGCCCCAGCTGGCCTGGAACTCGTTATGTAGACCAGGCTAGCCTTGAACTCACAGAGATCCCCCTGCCTGGCTTCCTTATTAATTCTTAAGGTTGGCATATACAGTAATGGGTATCATTGTGGAGTTTTTAGACATATATGCCATTATACTTTGTTTTCATTTGTCTCCCTCCATGACTGCCCTCCCCCTTCTCCCATCCTTCCCCAGAGAGTCCCCCTTTGATTTCATGTCACATGTATTCTATTACCCTTCTTTTTTATGTCTTCCTTAAGACCTTTTCCTCCCTTCTCATGATCCTTTTTCTACTTTGTTCTCTCACAGACTCATACACACACAGAATTTTAAATCTAGATTCCACAT